GCAGTACTCAGGTATTTCTTTTTATGTACTGTGTCAGCCATATTGTCATCCTTTACTATTAGCGTATAAGCCCAAAGTCAAATTATCTCATTTATTAATTATTTATTTATTATTTATCAATTATTGTCGTGTTACAGTCATTAAAGGCAAGATTCGGGATAAAATAGGTGTGGAAAAGCGTTCAGTTATGAAGCTAGAGGTGGGAGGTGGTCTGTAAAAGAGAAGGAAAGCAAACGAAACCACCGATTACGCCCCGTACAGAGACCTCCCCTATTTCAGCCGCATTCCACCTTGGGATAGAGAAGGGGCGCGTTGGACGAGTTTCACGAACCTAACTCTAGTTGCTCCAGTGCCAATGACATTGGGTCGCAATGGGACCGCTGCCTCAAATGCGCCCGCGCTTTTCAAGCAGCGCCACGTGGCAACCGACAGCGGAGGGTGGGGCTTGGACGAAGGTGTGAGTTGCGGGTCGGACGAGCTCCTTGCGCCTTTGTCGCGCACTTTCAAGCGCAAAAGGGGCGCGACATCAACGCTTGTCCGCCTGTCCTACTACCCCGGGATGGAACAGGCGAGCGCGCCTAATCCCGGAGCGTGCCTTCAAGAGTCGTGGCCAGGGTCAACCGTCCGTTGTGGGGGATCGTATCGGCCGGGTTATTGTATGCGTAGAGATCAACTTTGCAATGCATCGAGATCTTTATGAATGTAATCGTAATGGATGGATGACGCTACAAGGGCCTAAATGTGTGGAAAACGTTGGACCGCAAAATGAAGAAATGATAGGCAGATGCGATCAATGCCGGCAGCTTTAAGCTTGGGTTCACAGCACTAAACGATCAGAATCAAAACGCTTGCTGTCGTGATAGTAGAGGAGCAGAGCAGGTCACGAGTGCTTCTTCAACTCTTCCCCACAAACGTGAGCATAGCGCATCTCAGAGCAGTAGTTCCGGTAAATCAGTCCATATCTCATTGCCCACAGGTATAAATATTGCTCTACAAACCCTGTGTTTTTGGATCATGACTATGTAAGGATAGGAGCAACCACTTTGGCGAATTGACTTTTCGAGATTCACAAGAGAATTTCGCAAAAAGAAGAACTTGAAGTGGTTACATTATCGGTAAATGATTTTAATTCTATTGAGCAGGAAAATAGTAGATTACCTAATTTGGTAACAACCGTATATCAAGAATGCAATTGCTAACGGAATGTAACCATTTGAACGTCGCGTGTTTTGGAAAAAATAAGCTCACAAATTCCAAGGAGAAAAAACTAAAGAGTTAAGGGGCATTTTCTTCGCTTATCATTCGATTACTGAGTCGAAGTATAGGAAGCCTCCACTTCTGTTTATCGACAGACGTGGAGAATTGCAAAAATTGTCGCGATGAATGTTAGTATTTCAAAGCCAAAAAACCTGTGCGGTGCCAAAAATTGAATCGCAAGTGCCCCAAAACGAACCAATGGGGCCATCTTTTGACTCCATTCTTTTGGAAACGAGTTCAGATATTTATTAGAAAGCTCTAACATTCTTGTTTTCCACAGGTGGTAAAAGAATCCAAAAAGTTGAACCTGATGTATGCAAAGCCTAAAACTCGCTTTTAAGTTTCCATATTTTCTTACCCCTCCTCAAAATTTCATTATACGAAAGCCACTACCTTTCAAAGCAAGAAATGCGCATTTTTATGAAAACTAAACTCTAAAGTGCAAAGGAGCTTTTAACAATAAGACACGGCACAATCAGCTTTCTGATAGTAGCTCCGGAGATTATGTAACTACCTTAAACTCCGAGCGCATTAAGTATGAAGAGAATTACACTAGTTGGAAGATTACTGGTTGTGTTGTCGATCTCTTCTCGGCGGGATGAAGGAAGGATTGTGCGCGCCAATGGAAAGCACGCTACGCGACCGAGCGCAGGTCGCATTGGCGCATGTCTACGCAGAATAACTGTTGGAGCGAGGGTTAGTTGTCGAGTCGAGGCTCTCTGAAGGGGGGGGGGGTCGTGAAATTTCTGAAATCGGAACGACGTGACGGTGGACCCTGGTCGTAGAACTGAATAATAACAGGGCAGGCGTTCAGCAGTACGGTTGCATTGTCGAGCGAGTCATCCATAGTTGATTAGAGCTCGAGGAAAAAAGCGCATGCTCCGTGGGAATTGTCGAAAAAGAGAACAATTAGGCCGGCGTCAGAATACGAATCGGTGGCGATATGAGTGGTGCACCAGCTGTTTGGACGAAACATCAGCGAATCAAGAGGCTCGGAAAGTGGTGAGAGTCCCTCCCATTCGCACGTTGACTCTGCCACATTCCCACGCACTTTTCAGTGCTCTACGGGCCTGAGGAGGCGGAGCTGCTTTTTCCTCCCTCACTTAGGTGCTCAGTCTCTCATTGCATTGGCACAAAAATTGGCAATCTCTCAACTTCATTGTTTTCGACAAATTCTTTTCTTCTTTTTTACCGTCGGTCTGATTCACACCAATGCTCTCGTTTTCGTGTGCATCCACATCAGTTTGATCCTAGAGCTTGGAGTTGTTTTTTTCCAAATCTCTGGCAATTACCAAGAGCAATCAAACACTTGTCAACTCACCTTCTTAGGGTCATTTCCTTTCCAAAAGCATTTGATTCTCATCTTTCATTTCAACTGACCTTTCCGGTACTTCCTTCCCCGCCTTTACACATCCTGCACAATAGCAGATTATCTATGTAAAGAAAACTTTTTCAGTTGACTTGCCTTTTCTCATCGCTGGCCTTGGTTCTGGTCATCCTATATATCGGACCTGCATTGGAGTATCTCCCACAATGCATCCTGTCTACTATGATCATTGTTTCACAAAGAGCAATGTTTGCAAAATTCTCGGAACTCCGAGAACTTTGGCCTGTGTTCAAAGTCGATTTTGTGAGTTACACTGAAGTTGCCTCAGTTTTTGCTTTAGCGGTCTATTCAAGTTCGAGTCAACATTTTTAGGGAGGCACGTAAGCGCGAATTGCGTATTTCATCCCAGTTCTTTCATTTTTCTAACTGTGAACTGGTAGGACTATTATGACAGCCACTGGTTCCTGCGCATCTGATACACTCACAGACGCAATTCGTCTTTTTTTGCAGGAACTTTTTAATAACGAGAGATTTTCATCTTCGAAGTTATTGCCCACAGCTT